GTAAACTTAAAGAATTAGCAACGATGATATATTGGCAAAGCAATATAGGTATAATTGCTTTACATGTGAAATTACGTATCTCTTTTTAACACATAATTAACATGATTTCAATGTTTCAGACTGATAGATGTTGTTGCAGAAAATACCAGGTAATTTTGTTGCTTATCATAGACGACTTTCAGGACTATAAGAACAACATAATGATTTAAATACTATAGTAAAACCTCATACGAAATAAAACAATAGTTTAGTCCTATCAATGCAATTTATTATAATTCATAAACATAATTAAAATATGAGTTGTCAAATATAATAACAAAAAACGTGTCTTTAAGAATAAAATAAACTTGCCAAAAAGAATAGGACTTAAAAAAATAAAAGATCCATAAAACTTTGTGGCATCTTTTAAATGTAGAAAAGCAAAAACTGGCATTCATAGCAGCAATTCATAAATTGGTGCGTTTGATGTGAGATTTGTTGATTATCTAAAACAGATAATGTATCTTATTTTATATATATTATATAGGTATATGTAAAAAACGCACAAAAACAGATACATTCTTTTTACAGAACAATTACAATACCTTTTACAGCATGTCCCCCGAATTATGATATCTAGCGAAGGTTTCTTCAACCAACAATAGAAATACCTCAGCGTACACCTGAGACGAAAGCAGCGATCTGATCGACTGTCACTCATTGTATTTAAACTTGGTGTCAACGGATATAACGCGCTTAACTTGATGAAGAATAAGCTTCCTTCCAAATTTTTTCTCAAGAAATCGCTTCCTCGGACAGAGCATCGCTGTCACTGCCGTTGAATTCTGAGGACGTGTTGATGAAAACGACATAATCTGCGCCTTTTCTCTAAAATAAAGTAAAATATTGACGCGCGATTGTCGAATAAATTAATAGTAAATATATAGGAAAACCTTTTACCAGGGTTGTACAAGGTAATAAAGAGTGGCTGACAACCAATTTTTAAATCAAGCAGTAGGTTTCGAGGAAAATAATTCTGAATGCGCGAACGACATGCGTATATTTAACTATTATATCTACATACTATTAACATACATACTGACAGTAATGTTTATTAACATGAGGAACGATTCATTTGTGAGGTTTTTGCAACAAGAATATGTCATAATGCAAAATTGATTGCTACGTTACTTATATGTTGAAATAACGTTATAAATAAAACGTTGTCCTGCATCGTCCACAGGCGAAACATTTACTGTTGCCGAGATGTTAGCGTGACGTTTCGACAATATAATGATAAAAATGTTTGCCGGACATTAGCAAGTTGATGCGATCGAAAAAAAACCAGGAGTATTGAAATACTAGATAGTACACCGATCGTGCCTGACGGTACTTCTACAGCAGCGCTTGAGATCGATATTTCGGCCAAATACATGATTTTTTAATATTTAATTAAAATTATCTGAATGACTCACAAATCTTTTTAATGATACTTCATAACTCTTCATACGAAATACAAACGGTACCATACCGAACCTTTGTTTAATTTACCTCCGGTTATTATTTCCGGCTAAATACATGGTCCAAAAAAGAACAATTAATTACAAGTAATAGAATGACTCACAAATCTTTTCAATTGCACTTCAAAACTCTTCATACGAAATACAAACGATATAAAAGAGTAGTTTTCCAATCGGAGTTTTTTTCCGGTCAAGTACATACGAATACCGCTATCGCTATCGACGTAAGGCTTAAAGCTGACTATTGTGGATCGGGACTGAGGCGTGCGGGATGAGAGAGAGGTTCCTTGTTTCCTCTCTTATCCTTGTCTGGTTCATAGTATAATCGAGAAGAATGTGATACAATCCAAATTAAAAGTTAGAGATAATATGAAAAGCAGTGACCACTGAATGACTTAAGCGGGAAATACACACTCTTGCATAAAGGCATAATACACACGCATAAGAAAATTGACTAATCAGAATCCTCATTTCTATTGCCACGATGAAAATGAAGGACTTTGATTAGTCAATTTTCTTATGCGTTATGCATTATGCCTTTATGCAAAAGTGTGTGCTTCCCGCTTTAAGTGTCTTCTACAATAGCAGTAGGAGTAGTAGTAAGAAATTAGCAGTATAAGTAAATAGATCAATCACAATCGATTATTTTTGAAACGTGAAAATGGAATTGGTCAATTTGCTTACTGCTTATTTCTTACTATTACTCCTACTGCCATTGTAGAAGACACTTTAAGCTTATGAACAAAAGTTTAAGATATAAAACAGATGTATAGATTTTTTCTCATTTATTAGTATTCACTTATCGACTTATTATTAAGAAAAACAAAGCAAAGATTGTTCCTAATTCGGAGATTCAGTTTATGTTTAGAAATTAGCCGACTTAGTTTTTAGTTCAGACTGTACTAGACAAAGACAGAGCGCTGTTCGAGACCTACAAGCATGCTCTCTCTCATCCCGCAATATTCAAGAAGTAGCGCGCGTTCTAGGTAGTATATATTTCAGTGGGCTTTTCTCTGCTCTCGCTGTTATCGACGTAACGCTACCGCTATCGCTATCGACGTAAGGCTTAAAGCTGACTATTGTGGATCGGGACTGAGGCGTGCGGGATGAGAGAGAGGTTCCTTGTTTCCTCTCTTATCCTTGTCTGGTTCATAGTATAATCGAGAAGAATGTGATACAATCCAAATTAAAAGTTAGAGATAATATGAAAAGCAGTGACCACTGAATGACTTAAGCGGGAAGTACACACTCTTGCATAAAGGCATAATACACACGCATAAGAAAATTGACTAATCAGAATCCTCATTTCTATTGCCACAATGAAAATGAAGGACTTTGATTAGTCAATTTTCTTATGCGTTATGCATTATGCCTTTATGCAAAAGTGTGTGCTTCCCGCTTTAAGTGTCTTCTACAATAGCAGTAGGAGTAGTAGTAAGAAATAAGCAGTAAGTAAATAGATCAATCACAATCGATTATTTTTGAAACGTGAAAATGGAATTGGTCAATTTGCTTACTGCTTATTTCTTACTATTACTCCTACTGCCATTGTAGAAGACACTTTAAGCTTATGAACAAAAGTTTAAGATATAAAACAGATGTATAGATTTTTTCTCATTTATTAGTATTCACTTATCGACTTATTATTAAGAAAAACAAAGCAAAGATTGTTCCTAATTCGGAGATTCAGTTTATGTTTAGAAATTAGCCGACTTAGTTTTTAGTTCAGACTGTACTAGACAAAGACAAAGCGCTGTTCGAGACCTACAAGCATGCTCTCTCTCATCCCGCAATATTCAAGAAATAGCGCGCGTTCTAGGTACTATATATTTCAGTGGGCTTTTCTCTGCTCTCGCTGTTATCGACGTAACGCTACCGCTATCATTCGTATGTACTTGACCGGAAAAAAACTCCGATTGGAAAACTACTCTTTTATATCGTTTGTATTTCGTATGAAGAGTTTTGAAGTGCAGTTGAAAAGATTTGTGAGTCATTCTATTACTTGTAATTAATTGTTATTTTTTGGACCATGTATTTAGCCGGAAATAATAACCGGAGGTAAATTAAACAAAATTTCGGTATGGTACCGTTTGTATTTCGTATGAAGAGTTATGAAGTATCATTAAAAAGATTTGTGAGTCATTCAGATAATTTTAATTAAATATTAAAAAATCATGTATTTGGCCGAAATATCGATCTCAAGCGCTGCTGTGGAAGTACCGTCAGGCACGATCGGTGTATTATCTAGTATTTCAATACTCCTGGTTTTTTTTCGATCGCATCAACTTGCTAATGCCCGGCAAACATTTTTATCATTATATTGTCGAAACGTCACGCTACCATATCGGCAACAGTAAGTTGATGCGATCGAAAAAAACCAGGAGTATTGAAATACTAGATAATACACCGATCGTGCCTGACGGTACTTCCACAGCAGCGCTTGAGATCGATATTTCGGCCAAATACATGATTTTTTAATATTTAATTAAAATTATCTGAATGACTCACAAATCTTTTTAATGATACTTCATAACTCTTCATACGAAATACAAACGGTACCATACCGAAATTTTGTTTAATTTACCTCCGGTTATTATTTCCGGCTAAATACATGGTCCAAAAAATAACAATTAATTACAAGTAATAGAATGACTCACAAATCTTTTCAACTGCACTTCAAAACTCTTCATACGAAATACAAACGATATAAAAGAGTAGTTTTCCAATCGGAGTTTTTTTCCGGTCAAGTACATACGAATGATAGCGGTAGCGTTACGTCGATAACAGCGAGAGCAGAGAAAAGCCCACTGAAATATATACTACCTAGAACGCGCGCTATTTTTTGAATATTGCGGGATGAGAGAGAGCATGCTTGTAGGTCTCGAACAGCGCTTTGTCTTTGTCTAGTATAGTCTGAACTAAAAACTAAGTCGGCTAATTTCTAAACATAAACTGAATCTCCGAATTAGGAACAATCTTTGCTTTGTTTTTCTTAATAATAAGTCGATAAGTGAATACTAATAAATGAGAAAAAATCTATACATCTGTTTTATATCTTAAACTTTTGTTCATAAGCTTAAAGTGTCTTCTACAATGGCAGTAGGAGTAATAGTAAGAAATAAGCAGTAAGCAAATTGACCAATTCCATTTTCACGTTTCAAAAATAATCGATTGTGATTGATCTATTTACTTACTGCTCATTTCTTACTACTTCTCCTACTGCTATTGTAGAAGACACTTAAAGCGGGAAGCACACACTTTTGCATAAAGGCATAATGCATAACGCATAAGAAAATTGACTAATCAAAGTCCTTCATTTTCATCGTGGCAATAGAAATGAGGATTCTGATTAGTCAATTTTCTTATGCGTGTGTATTATGCCTTTATGCAAGAGTGTGTACTTCCCGCTTAAGTCATTCAGTGGTCACTGCTTTTCATATTATCTCTAACTTTTAACTTGGATTGTATCACATTCTTCTCGATTATACTATGAACCAGACAAGGATAAGAGAGGAAACAAGGAACCTCTCTCTCATCCCGCACGCCTCAGTCCCGATCCACAATAGTCAGCTTTAAGCCTTACGTCGATAGCGATAGCGGTAGCGTTACGTCGATAACAGCGAGAGCAGAGAAAAGCCCACTGAAATATATACTACCTAGAACGCGCGCTACTTCTTGAATATTGCGGGATGAGAGAGAGCATGCTTGTAGGTCTCGAACAGCGCTCTGTCTTTGTCTAGTACAGTCTGAACTAAAAACTAAGTCGGCTAATTTCTAAACATAAACTGAATCTCCGAATTAGGAACAATCTTTGCTTTGTTTTTCTTAATAATAAGTCGATAAATGAATACTAATAAATAAGAAAAAATCTATACATCTGTTTTATATCTTAAACTTTTGTTCATAAGCTTAAAGTGTCATCTACAATGGCAGTAGGAGTAGTAGTAAGAAATAAGCAGTAAGCAAATTGACCAATTCCATTTTCACGTTTCAAAAGTAATCGATTGTGATTGATCTATTTACTTACTGCTTATTTCTTACTACTACTCCTACTGCTATTGTAGAAGACACTTAAAGCGGGAAGCACACACTTTTGCATAAAGGCATAATGCATAACGCATAAGAAAATTGACTAATCAAAGTCCTTCATTTTCATTGTGGCAATAGAAATGAGGATTCTGATTAGTCAATTTTCTTATGCGTGTGTATTATGCCTTTATGCAAGAGTGTGTACTTCCCGCTTAAGTCATTCAGTGGTCACTGCTTTTCATATTATCTCTAACTTTTAACTTGGATTGTATCACATTCTTCTCGATTATACTATGAACCAGACAAGGATAAGAGAGGAAACAAGGAACCTCTCTCTCATCCCGCACGCCTCAGTCCCGACCCACAATAGTCAGCTTTAAGTCATTCAGTGAATGACTGAAGAAATTGATCAATCACAGTCTAATTTGAGGAAAATAATGGACTGTGATTGGTCAATTTCTTAAGGCTTAAGGCTTACAACACCTATTGTGGTTCGGGACTCAAGAGGCAGCGTGCGTTTCAGGTAGTATATTTCAGTAGGCCGGACTTCTCTCTCATTTAGCAATATAGTAGTATTACATATATGTCTAGTTTATAGACAATGTGTTACCATCGCGAAAATGCACCTAATGAACGTAGTAAAGGCGCACTTTGGTAGATGGCGTCTCGAAAATGCTCCTAGCTCTGGCCTGAAGCAGGCTAGTGGCCGCTCTCATGCTTCTCTCTGGCGGGAGTTATATAAGAAAATAAGATTGACGAATAAGATTAATAAGATAATAAGATATTAATAAGATAATAAGATTCTACGAATTCAACTATAACCTCGACGAAGACGGAATCCACTCGTTTTGCATAATTCTGTATTATTAATCTTATTGATTCTCACGGCTCATTCTTGTCAATTGACTGGCGTGCCGACCCGTCTGAAGTTAGCCGCGCTTGGCAACACCAATGCAGCGCATGGTGCTGTGTGGTTAGATGTACGTGCTCGGACGCACAGACAAACGCGGCGGGATGTAAAGGGTCCTTGGTGAAATTCAAGTGTCTTATCCCCTTGTTTAGCGGTGTTGTCATTATCGGGTGGGAAAGCCTCGGCAGGTAGTGTGGACCAACAGGAAAGTCGAGCCTATGCGAACGCGCGTGCGAAAATAGGTACGAGGAGGGAAGGAAAACAAAGACGGACGGACGTGTAGAAACGAGCAGGTAGAACAAAATAGGGGTTTCGGGTAATGGAGTGTCCCACGCTGTGCATCGTCGAATTTGTCCTTCCGGTCGCGGCCGAGAGCAGCCAGCAAGTATACGCGTGCAACGGCAGCAGCTGAGAGGAGGCGTGCCGCGCCACCATATTGAGTGAAGCGGACGGACGACGTTGACCCGGCGAAGATGATCGTCTGCGGCAGAGTCATCGGCCGATTATCGTCGAGGCTGACGTGCGCGACTCGCCTGTATCAGCCAGTTAATTACGCGGGTATGTATCTGCGTTCTCGTGGCTACAACCTGCTTCGCACGCAATCCTCGACGGTCATGAGGCTCCTCGGAAGACCCGCCTCGTTTCCCGCCTATTTTGCGACCGGTTTTTCTCGCGAGTAAAAAGACACTTTGTTCGACTTATATTTCTTGTATCGTCGACCTTGCACCGGCTACAGTACGATCATGCAATCGCGATAATTGCTCTTTGAGGACAGTCAGACCTGTGTTTACAATTTTCCACACGACCTGTTCGCTCTGAAGTAGGCGACATATGATGTAATATGAGGAAACCATATCACGCTTTGGGATGAGTTGCTCTTTTGCACCTTTTCTTTCTTCGTATGTTTTATAAATTATCTTTCTGAGACGACTGAGACTAGTGATAATTGCTATATATATTTCATGTTATCTTAACTTTTTTCTCACTTTCATTACATTGCCATTGCATTGCTATTGCCTTTTGTCAACAAAGAATTTCTTTTGATAATGCCTTCTTAATTAATGTTTTTTTGATAACTTACCAGAAATGTTTGCAGGAACTGTAAATATTAGCAAGTTACACTACAGTAGCAATGTGAGCAATAAAAAGTCATCAGGCACCACTATTAAGCCAGAGGAATGTGTGCCTGAATCTAAATATTCTAAGGCACAAAAAGAGATTCCTCCCTGTGCATCACCTAATGGTTCTTGCCCACCAGAATGTAACAAGGAGCAATCGGGCAATGGAGGTGGCAAAAAATATCAATTCCAATATTGGCATCTGCTCGCTGCTTTGGTTGTAACAGGAGTTGCTGGATATACGGTAGTGTATTGGTAATTCTGTAACAAATTAACCATATGTACCAATTTGTTTTTTATATTTTTAATTGATTTTGGAAATATTTTACAGATATTCTCATTGTTTGGGTCAAAAAGTGATGGAGCAGGTGAGTTTAAAAGTTATAAATAAACAATCATAGCAATTATAAGTAAGAAATCATAAGTAAACAAGATTAAATCAAGAATTATTTTGATGAGATACCAAAGTTCATTAAATATTATTACTAAATACTATTTATATATATGTATAATTTGTAGTTTCTGAAAAGAAAGGAAAAAAGAAGCCTAGAAGATTTAGACAAAAAGTGAAAATTCCAGTAGAATCAAAGATGATGCCCCAAGAAGTACCTTATCTATTGATAGGTGGTGGAACAGCTGCATTTTCAGCATTTAGGTCAATTAAATCTAGGGATCCCAAAGCTACGGTATATCAACAATACAATACATTGGACTTTATTTTCTTTGTCAACACAGCATGAGTAAAAATTTTTCTTACAGGTTTTAGTAATAACAGAGGAAGAAGATCTTCCATACATGAGACCACCATTATCCAAAGAACTTTGGTACAATACAGACAGAGAATCATCACAGCAGTTGCGCTTTAAACAGTGGAATGGTACTCAGAGAAGGTAAACTTCAATTGATTGCATGTCATTAGTATAGTGGATTGTTTTACATGTACTATACTAAGTTTTTCGTTATATTTATGTCATAGTATATTCTATGAGCCACATGAGTTCTACTTGAACATTGATGATCTCATGAAATCCGAGAAGGGTGGAGTTTCTGTAGCCACAGGCTGGAAAGTGACAAAAATCGATGCAATAAATAAAAAGGTGATTCTTGAAGATGGTCATGAAATAAAATATGACAAGTGTCTTGTAGCAACTGGTGAGTTTCATCGAATGTGTAAGATTGTAGTATAAATTTAGAATTGGATCATTTTTATGTACGCTATTATATCTGCAGGTTCAACGCCGAAAAATCTTCCGGTGTTTGAATCCGCTGAGGACGATGTGAAAAATAAGATTACAGTATATAGGACAAAGGAAGATTTTCTCGATCTGGAGGAAAATATTTCCGACTCAAAATGCAAAAATATCGCTATTATCGGCGGTGGATTTCTAGGCTCGGAACTCGCCTGTGTACTTGCTAGGAATTGTACATTTCATCTTTACTTATTTATTAATGAAATAATTTTGGATATTCGAAAATCTTTTATCAGTAATATAAAATGTGTCTTTCAACAGATAAATCTAAAAACATTCACCAAATCTTTAGAGAGAAATTTATAATGGCTCAAGTATTACCGGAATATTTGAGCGAGTGGACTACGAAGAAGGCCGAAGGTGAAGGTGTTAAAGTTGTACCCAACAAAGAGGTTGAAGATTTTAGATACAAGAACGGCCAATTGTCTCTTGTCCTCACTGGTGGAGAAACTGTACGTTGGCATATAATAAGAGATATTTACGTATTTTTCTGTAACTAATCAAACTTTTTGTTTTATTGATAAGATGGACGTTGATCAAGTGATAGTAGCGGTAGGTGCTGAACCAAATACGGATCTGGCGAAAACTTCTCGTTTAGAGACGGATCCTAAAATAGGAGGATTTCTCGTTAATGCCGAGTTAGAGGCGAGAAGCAATATTTGGGTTGCTGGTGACGCAGCATGCTTTTATGATGTTGTTCTTGGCAGAAGAAGGATCGAGCACCATGATCATGCTGTTATCTCTGGAAGATTAGCAGGCGAAAATATGACTGGTGCAGGTAATTTGACGAATTCATGAATGTCTCCGGAATATTGAAAATTGCGAGAATAAAATATAAAAGGATTCATGAACTTTGTTGTAGGTAAACCGTATCTGCATCAAGCGATGTTTTGGTCTGATTTGGGACCTGATGTGGGATACGAAGCAGTAGGTATCATAGACTCGTCCTTGCCAACAGTTGCAGTCTTCGCGAAACCAAGTACGACGGAAGGAAATACAGAATCTAGTGATAATCCTAAAGAAGTAAGCAAATTTCTCGTGGTACAAAGTATAATGTACTTAATTAAAATAATTTCTTTCATGTTATATGTTCTTCCAAGAAACAGGAAACAAATCCCGGAGAGCAGCAATCTAATGTAAAATCCGAAGAACTATCGCAAATCGTGAAGAACATTAATCATACGGATTTAGAAAAGAAAGATAACAAGACGTCAGCAGAAGAATCCAAGGAAGATTTTAGCAAAGGCGTTATTTTCTACCTCCAAGATGATATTGTAGTAGGAATAGTGTTGTGGAATATCTTCAACAGAATCCGAATTGCCAAACAGGTAAGATAATTATATAAATGTTAAGATATTAATTCACTTCTATTTTCTATTATAATTTCAATTTAGTATTTCTCAAAAATTTACAACAAACTTTGTATCACTTTAGGTCCTTGCGAAAGGCACAAAATATGACGATCTGAATGAAGTAGCGAAGGTATTTACCATTCACGACGATTAATTGTTTGGTTGTCAAACAAGAGTGAAAGACAATACGACGAGGTTATTGTACTTTATGTAAAAAAATATTCGGCTTCCTTGTTCGAGATATTGTTATCGATGGAAAACCCGCAGGCAACAGCTCGCTGCGTTCTGCAGGTATGCGAATTGTATATGAACACTAGTACTACTAGTACTACTTTGTATTGTACACGCTGATTTTTAAATATAGTCTGTACACGAAACATTGTCATAGGAATATGCGAAGTGTATGTATGTTCATCATAGTTGATGTGCTAACTAAGCATTTATAGGGAATAAAGGAAGAGCGATTTTATTAATTATCATGCAACAGTCAATTATTGTTATAGAAGTATACTGTTTTGCTAACGTATCACTGTACACATACATATACGCACATACACACACTTTGGTGTAAAAGAATTCTATAAAATATTTTACATGCTGAAGTTTACATTATTTTTATCTACACGGACGGTATGCGTTTTTCCACATCAACAGTTTTTCAAACCGAAATAGTCCAATAAACCGAGAAAGTCCAATGTTTTTATAACTCATCGTCTAAATTCATATTTTTGCTCATTGCCGGTAAAACTCTATTTCTGTATCGCTGACCTAAATTGTCCATGTACGAAATGTAATTGTGACAACGGTACTCATCCAACACCTGTGTAGTGAAAATACATTTGACGAATTATTCGATGATACATTCCATATAAATAATTCTAGCGAATTCAAGATATATATATATATATATATATATATATATATATATATATATATATATATATATTTGCGCTTGCCATACCATATTTTCTGGCCATATTTTTCCGCTCGTTATATCCTCTAACAGGACCTCCTGACAGGATTGCAAAAGTGACACGCAGTAGTATACCATGTAATCGGGCGGATACAAAATGCAGATCGCGAAGAAATGAACTATCTCGCTCCACGGAAGAATTCCCCAGAAACATTGCAATATCATTCTATTGAATATCATCCACCAGTTTATACCGCATGCATCCTTATCACGTTTAAATCAGAATATTAGATTCTATTCTCAGAAATCAAATCAAATTATCTTCGTAAAATCAGTTACCTTCAATGCGTATTTGATATTCGGAAGCTCGATATTAACCATGGCTTCTAAAACTTGCATGAAAGTGAATTGCGAGCTGGTGGTCTCATTATTTTTCTCGCCCATAACATGGCCCAATTTCGGCCAGAGAAGCAGAGTCGATGGGAATTGAATCAATTGCATGATGAAAGTCTTGCACCTATAATCAATGATCGTATCATCTGGTAAAAGAGGTCAATGATGACAATAAACGGCTGAGGGTCATTACTCTGTATAATGTAATGACTAAATGAAAACAAGTTTTCAACCTGAGACCCAATGCCAATGATGATATTTGATTAGCTCGAGTCAATCGATATTGATGGCAATTCAAGAAGCTTGTTCGGCCGATTTCACGTCTTCGTGATTACGTGGCGATTACTATTTCGTCTTTCAATCACGAAGTAATAGTATTGATCGAAACAAGGACGCCGTCGAGCGATCGATTCGCGGTCAGCTGAGGCTTAAACTCACTCCCGATTCTTTCTCTGGCTGAGAATGAATGAATTCAAGTCATTATCAAAAACAACATACTTATCTAGATCTCCATCGCAGATAATGAATACTGTCGCCAAAAACCAATCGAAGCCCTCGAATTTGCTCGGTTTGTTGTACTGTATGAACATATACGCGGAATGAATGAACCGTTTTAAGTTCTGTTGGGTATCGCTGTCGTTCTTCAAGATCTGCCGTTGTTCCCCGTAACTCAGAGCTACATTGATTGCGTGCAAGTCTTCCGGGACCCAATAGTCTGCGTCGTAAGTTATATTCTCTTGCCATACGAACTGCTCCACCCACTCCGCGGTCGGGATGGCTTTGTGCATTTGGTTCAATAAATTTGTTACCACAGAATTCTAAGGTAAAGATTATTTCCTTACATGTAAGTTCGATTCACACACCAATACTAGACTGCGCAACAGTGTAATTCTTTAAATGAAATCACCTTCATCGGGTATCGCGACGCTTTGTGAGCCGCACGAACTTGCGAGACCCAACCGATGTCTAACAATCCAGGCCTCTCTTCTTGCAACATATCGTTCAGCTCCGAATCATATTCCATATCGGAATAATTCATCGTCTCCGCGAATATCCTAGGTGGTGGGAATTCCGAAAACAGTTGATATTCTTCCAAGGGCATCGGGTATTGTTTCATCTTGTATGCTAGGTAATAAGATTTTAACAAGATATCGTATCGAAGCAAGCTGGAATCGTCAATTACGTATTCTTTTGTTGATTCTGGCTTATAATTATCGTCGTCGTCATCGTCGTCGTTGCCCATTATAGACCGCTCGTAATCGTATTTGTCGTCAGCTTGTTTCTCGCGTGCTTCAATCATGATTGTACTGTCCTTTTGAATATTCAATAATATTTCCTACAAATCGTACATCTATTTTATTATTGTGCGTAATTATAATTACATTTTCCTTCCGCAGTGTGTTTATTGTATTACCTGAAAGTTCAACAAGTTCACTAGGTAGACATGAATGTCCAAGTTCCAAATTACTGTGCTCAACGACAGGAGACCCAGATGATGGTAACTCGAGTCCTCGTTTATCGCAGTCTGCAGCAACTCCGATAGATTGGAAGGACAATCCTTTTCCTCGTCGTTATTCGACTCGTCGTTCACCATAAACGCCGCGAAACCTGCTCCGACGTGAATCATTTATTGGGGAAAGACAATGAGTTATAGCGCGACAATTACTCCTGTTATTTACAATTGAAATTAAGGGAGAACAACTCGAGTATGTGCAGAAACTCCTTGACGTTCTCTCTGTCCCAAGGATCGTAGAAGTGCGCGGAATCCTCCGCATTCGCGCAGATTTGAGACACCAGAGTCGATAGGACATGAGGTGCGAGATCTGCGAGCACGTTGTAGCCTAAATCGAAGTAACCAGCTGACGAGATAAAGCTGACTATGTCGGTGGAGCTCCAAGACGCTCTTAGCGGGACAATCAATCCGCGAATCAATTCTTCAAATACTAGTTTCTCTTTGACGAGCGCTTGCAGGCCGAGCGGTACTGATACCATTTTCAGCAAAACTTTCTTGACGACGCTAAAACGCGATTTTGGCAATTAGATATTTATGTTAGGTAATTTTGTATTATATATTACAGATGATATTAATTGATTTTATATGAAGTAATTAAATATCATTTTGTATTAATTTAAATGATTTTATATTAGATAACTGTCATTATGTAAATCGAACTTAGTTGAGGGTCGAGCTCGCGTCTTCGATTACCTGTCGAGTTGCTGAACCTTATTTTCGTTCTCGACACCGTACTTGTTCATCTTCTTGTAGAAATTTGTGACGGCGGGATAGAACTGCGTTTCTATCTGTACTTGCGCAGCTTCGTAAACGTCGTACACGTTGAATAGTTTCTCCATCAACGCGAACGAGCCGAGAATGCATTCCATGTCCATTATAGAGAACGGTTGTTTTAGCAAATTGGACGCGTACAGCATAAAAATCGCGACCGGGCACTTGGACGATGCATTCTCGGTGGAGCTAGTAGTCGAATGCTCCTTACAGTCCGTGGTTAAAAACGCGGGTCCATCCGCAGTGTCTATCAAGTGGGAGATCACATTCAACGTGTGCGGCCAGATCTTTATATTATTCTCAGGGAGAGACACCAAGTGGCACAACGCAGTGTGACAAAATTTCACGTTGTACAATACTTCTGATACGTTCAGCACGTTTTGCAGAACATGGTTGCAAGTGTCGTACACCCCGTTCGGTGCTTCCGACACTAATTTGTTCAGCGAGTTGGACAGTTTGATCAAGAAATCGGTGATCTCGAACGGCGTCTTCAACGAGCCGTTCGCCAGCAATGCTCTGCCTGCCTCGTAGCTGCAGAGTTGCGACACGAGGACTAAGCAGTGCAGATAAGTGACTGTCTCTATCGTGTTGCCGGGGATGCATAGTTCGTTGACCTCGTCCACGATAGAGGCGGACAAGGAACAGGGTGTATCTTGCAAGCCATTATAGACGCAATCTACGACGTTCTGCAAGAACGTCGGCGACCTGCCCAAAGATGCAACGAACGTTTTTCTAGTGGATAAACTATGTAGCCACCTCTTGCTCCATTTAGCTTGCGGCTCCAACACCGAAATGATGTTTAACATGTTTAAAGTCTTGGACTGTAATGTATTACCGAAGCTGTGTGTACTGAGGAATATTATAAATTGCTCCACGACGTCCTCCGTAGTCTTATCGATGTGCCGAACACTCTTCAACAGTTCCTCCTGGTAGCGAATTATTAAATGCATTATGCGGAACAGTTTTTCGTGCAGGAAGAACTTGAAATTAATCCCAGAGATGAGAGTCGGCAGGGTCTCGTGCACCTTCTGCGAATGGTATTGCGCATTGAATGCGTTCAGTAGATTGCCGTAGATACTGTGTATCTGCACGCAACTCAACAACTTTGCGTGTACCTGCATGCTGGCCTCGAATATAGCTCTGCTGTCGTCCGTCAGACCGTCCAGCAACGTGTTCTGCAGAACATCCCATCGGGAACTGTTGTTCACATTCGACAAATCGATCTTCATCAAGATCTCGTAGCCAGCCAGTCGCACGTGCACCGGCTTGTCGCGACTGATCTTGTCGATAATGTAGCTGTATTGCTCACTGTCCTCCCCTTGCGGAGAAGTGGCCCAGTCATCCGTTGTGAGATCACTCGTGAACGAAAGCGATGATTGTGAACGCGACGCTGCGGACGACGGTTTCACCATTATGTAGTGTTCGGAAATCGCCATCTTCATGGAACTCAGCAGACTGGTCATGTTTCTGGAGTGCGTGAGCTTTTGAGCGATCTCGCTGCTGTCTTGTTCCTCCTCTATAGCGCTCTGTATCGTCCTCTCGAACTCCTTCCTCAGACACTTTCTTAACCATTTTTGCAGAACTGGCGGTATACTTTTTTCCATAATTATTAATTATTAAATATCGAGTTAAGCAAGGGTAACTAAGCAAGTGCTACGACGACGCATATAGTGAAGCTTGCATAGTTTTGACACATGTTACCATAGCAACAATGAGGGATACTTTACAGTACGCAAGGCACAACAGTACGTATGTATCCTTGACGAATATACTATCGAGGAATAATAAAGCCACGCTCATTCGATGAATCCTTTTATCACAAAATTGTACAGCCTGTTATATAAGTTTTACAGGTCACATGTAATATCAATTGTACTTTATCGACGGTGAAGTAATTCTGAGTATTATGTACAATAATGTCCTTATTTTAGACACAATTCTCTTAATTAACGTGCAGGTACTATTATATTTGGCGCCTTGGAACGTAACGCATTAATGCCGCCTTGCAAAGAGCAGACTCCTACGACACTGCATTTTACTAGGAAATCTGCAAACTATCGGATGAACATGTTAGAATAAATCTCTCCTCGCGATTTCTTGTTTCTTTGATACGGACACCTACCAATGCATTGTTTTGATCATGTGGCCCGATAATTACGACGACACTGTTTTTGTTGTCCGTCAGCGGCTTCGCGTGTGGTCCGAGTGTGTCTACATGAGTCTGAGAGAGCTGCACACTCGTGAACGGGATATTAATACTGCCAAGAATAGCACCTCTTTCGAACCTGTCAAAAACAGAAATCTTATCAATTTAGGAACTTTTATATATAGGAAGACTTTTATATAGAGGACTTTTATATAAAGGAACTTTTATACTAGGAATTTTTATATATAGATATAAATTTTTATTAAATAAAAATTAATTTCTCTAGACAACTGAACGTTTAGTATATTGCATTTCGCGCGCGAATACTTACTGTATATTACTACGTACGTCGACCACTATTACTTTGCTCGGTGAGTTGTTGTGTAGATTTAGAAAATCGTCTACACTTATCCGTGGCATTTTCTCGGTTCCCGTCTCGGGTTCAATCCAATTTGCATCCTGCGAATCGATTAATATTTCAGAAATGCATAAGATGTATAGAATGAGTTTTGTACCTTCGTGTTATACTGGTGCTTCCTATACGTAATACTAGCCGGGGTGTTCTGATACATCGTCATAGAGTCCTTAACGCATAACTCTATGTCGATCTCGGGTAGATCGGAGAACAGAAGGATGCATTCATTGAAACCCGACATCAACAAAGAGTCTCGTAGTTGCTTCAATATCGCCAGCCCAACCAAGAGAGGAAACGACGAGTCTCCCAATAGTAATTTATCCCACAGATGCAATATTTTATGCAGCGGAAATACATCTAAAATACGAATAGTTCTTTCCAGCGACGATAAATACGACGTGTACTAAAGCATATTTGCAGCGGAACTCACGTGAAAACATTGTCAAAAACCACGGTATGGCAAACAGTTCTGGCACAAAGTTAATGGACTTCAGGTGATTAGCCAGTTGAGGATCATGGAATGCTATGATCTGAGAGAATTTTCCCAGGTACTCTTGTATCACCGCCGAGTTATCTTTCAAGAAGAACTTGTGCAGATATTTCGGTATGAAAGCAGACAGACATCCGAATGCACGAGCTACAAATAAAACGCACGATAAATCACAAAATACAAGAAGTGTGATCTTATGCGCGATCTTACCTTCGTTGTTGAAATTCAAATAAAGGAAGGGCGCCGTCAGCGAATCAAGTCCCTGCCAATAAACGTAGTGCGGATTGTTCCTGACCCACGCCTTGAGCAATCGTTGCAGTCGTTCATGCCCGGCACCGGACGACAGTAGCTCGCTGTATTGATGACACCTTGGTATATCCACCTCTATCTGACAAATTATTACCAAGATGCATTTACGTGTTGAACCATCGCGCTCCGCGCCCACCGGTCATACCTGTCGATCGGTGTGTGTGGGCGTTTCCTTGTCAATCATGTCATAACGCTTCTGTATGTCACCGGTGATACCGAGCAAAGCCGCCCACACGGCTCCCCGCACTGGCGGCGGTATGTCCTTGTGCGCCTCCTCGATAATTGCGTCTTGGGTGAGCGGATACACTTGTAAGAGTCTGTCGTACAGGACCAGCCGATAAAATTGATACTCTGTGTCGCGCTCTCGTATAATTAACGGCAACTGAGACGCAGCGTTTGTCAGATCTTCCTGCGCCTGAACTCGCATTCTGTAATGCATTATAGAAGAAAAAACTGCACTGGTGTATACATACAAATGATATTTCTGCAATTACTTTGAAGTATCGAAATAGGTATAGACCAAAGTGTAAAAATAACTTCACTCACTGGTTTGTCAACCAAGGATAATTTGCTATATATGGGATGTGAGCTAGACGTTGGCGAAGAGTCTCCATGGGAACTTTCACGACTCTCACGTCGAGCAGACTAGCGGTATCCCTTTGGCCAAACATTTGGCCCAGCAGTATGACCAAGCTAAAATGCAAAGAGAATTTTGAACAGTTAATGTAATCCCACTAAGTATGATATTTTTACAATCGCTACATTCAAAGAGATATGTTTATGAAATTACTTGGGAATAGATAAAATAGGTGGTCTTGATCTGATGAGACCCTGTTTCTTTAGATCTACAGTAATATCTCCACCAGCCAGCTGCCACAGATAATATAGTTCGTCCATTTTCCTAACTATTACATTTTTATAAAGATTCTCTTCTTTCTCTTGAGCATTTCTCATTAAGTGCTCCCTGAATATCGGTAGTTCTAACAATTCCTCTGGAGTTTTACGCTTGGTAGGATGAATTTGTAGACAGGAATCGACAAATTCTTTCAGCTCCTTTGACAGCTTCTACATGATATAAAGAGATATATATAAAGCTGTGATGCAAACAAATAACAACATATGTAAATAAAATCATACTTCATAAGCTTGAAAACAATTGTTTTCTCTGGCAAGACGTTCAAATATACTGTTATCACACAGCATTAAGCTCAGAACCTTTCTCAAGCATTGGGACAACTTTGCACCAGGCCAAATAGGTTGTCCCAACAACTGCTCTGCTATAATTATTCCTAGAGACCAGGAATCTACTTTAACACCACTTGAACTAGGGTTCAAAAATACTTCTGGTGCCGTATACTTTGGAGAACTGATAAAAAAATATTTTGTATAAAACTACAAGTTGGTAAGTTCATTTAAATTATTATTATTAGAAGAAAGAAATACTTGAAAATACCCAATTGGAAAAGACACATTTTTTCCTTCATCTGTCATATAGTACAATCCATAATTGTACAGCTGTATATCACCATTTTTCTGAATCAAAATATTATCTGGACTCAAATGTCTGTGCACCAGGTCAAGTTCATTCATATGTTGTAATCCTAAGAGACATTGAAAGGATATCTTGACAATCTCCTCTGTGGTAAGATCTCGGTTAATGTTTAATGGATTTCCACTGTACTCAGCAACAACCACTATCCTCTCTAAAAATATATGTAGGGAACTAAGTTATACAATAATAAATAAATCTACAAGCTTATGCTTGTGTACTTGATTGTGACTTACCATGTTTACTTCTAATTATATCGAGGTAAGGAGAAAGATGTGGATGGTAAATAGTCTTCAAAACTTGAGATTTCCCGTAAATTGTTATTGAATTTGGAGTAAGTGGTAGACCATTGCTACCACAAACTTCCACTGGGTGACTCTGTGCAAAGAAAGTCATACCCCCCAAGCATCGTTCCTCGTTCTCCAAGAGTGCTGGACACATATTTGTGAGATTATTTATAAAATTCTTCGATCATACGAGCCAGTTCCACTGTTTTGATTCAAAATTAACGTCACTCATAATTATTGCAAATCTGTATGCATCCCTTACGAAGAGAGAGAGATCCGCCTACTTTATCCATCATTTACAGCTGTCACTCAATAAAACATGAAAACGTAATTACAGTATATATCATACAGTAACGACACCAATATATATTATATCATAGCATGATAACGAAAACCGCGTCATTCGTTATCTTGACAAAGGCTGCGTTCGCTTTGGGCGTTTATGCGCTGTAAAGCTAGTGGCACACGATGCTTGTTTTCGTGCTGGATAGCTTGCTGAATGGAAATACTCCGTTCTGATTGGTGCTGAAGATGGATAGAAATACATGAATCAAAACAGAGTATTTCCATCCAGCAAGCAATCCAGCATGAAAACAAACACCGTGTGCCGCTGGCTTAAGCGTCATTCTGGTTGCTTTTCAACAAGAGACACAAGTCGACACAAGTATCATCCTATCTTTGTTACTCACTAAATAGAACAAAGATAGAATGATTTTTGTGTCGACTTGTGTCTCTTGTTGGAAAGCAATCTCTATCTTCTTCCTGAATGTAATGAGCGATAAAGATAGAATGATGCTTATAGCGCGTAAGCGCCCAAAACGAACGCAGTTATATATACAACTCATGCCCGTTTTTACCAACTATTGTTGACTTAACCGGCTGATTATTCTAACGGAATTAACCAATCACATTTCTCGTTAGTTAGAATTCACAAATGTGATTGGTCAATTCTGTTGGAAAAATCAGTAAGTTAAATTAACCAAAGTTGGTAGAAACGTGTATCAATGATTGGTCAGACAAACTTTTTTATTCTTTGGTCTGTTCTTTCCAGCTGCACTGCTGAACTGATGCAATAAGTTAAAGTGAGACAAGTATATTTTTTCTCACTCTAACTTATTGCACCAGTTCAGCAGTGCAGTTGAAAAGAACAGACCACTTTTTAATCATATAATTGAGCGGTGGGTAAGAGGTAAAAATCTTAATTGAATTATAATTTGTCAATATAGAAATTAATCATATTTTAAAACATTGAAATGATAATTCATCCTTTAAGGGGAGAAGAAGAAAACATTGTCCCATCGGTCGATCATCGTCCATCTCTACCAAGATATATCAGTCAAGGATCGCGTCAAACACGTCAAGTTTTTAACAATTATTTTAAAGAAATCGTGAATTCTCTTGCTAATGAATCTTGATCGTCTTTATTCGTCCCGTTTTCGATGAATTCGTGTTAACGTAAGTACAGATTTTCGTCACAACACGTATTTCTGAATTCTTTTATTTAAAAAGGTTATAATTTCTGCTCCTTTTCGAATCGACTTTCATACTCTATGAATATTAATCATCATTTTCTAATTACCTTTGTTTATATGTTCAAAATTATTGTAACAACTTATTATATATTAGGCAAACATGAGATCTGAATTAAATAATTGATGGTTAAAATTATATATATGTAAAAATGTTATAAGCTTAAAAATATTCTATTTATTTTAAAGCTATTTTACATGAAAAAAAATATATAATTTCTATAATAATAGAAGAAACAAATATATATTGTATAAATTTTGGAAAATTAGGTTAAGAAGTATATATGCTGAAAGCATTTGCATATTATCTGACAAGTGATCCTTAAATTTGCAACTATATATATTCTATTACAGAATTTCATCCACGGAGTATTTCACCGGGACATTTATAATGTCTTCGGTCCAGCGTGCATTTGCTCACAAATTAAGTAAGCAGCATGCCGCCGATGTGAGGCGGCAAATTGCCACTTCTACTTCCTATTCACGTGATTTATCCAAGAGTGGTAGTAGTATATCAGGATTCTCTTCCACGGTAGTAAATTCTTGAAAAAAAAAACTGAAGATATAATGCTTAATCTTGAATTAAATTAACATTTAATACTTTTACAGATGTCCTTGTGTGAGGTGTTAGAGCCACTTGATTATGAAGAATTCTTAGGACAGCATCAATCAGTACTAGATCGTGATCCCTTAAAACCAATACTGGATTTTCCACCAGGAGATGTTGAAATGAGAGTCATAAAAAGGAAAATTCGAACAGAAGAGCCAATAGTTCCTCATGAATCCTTGTAAGAGATATAACACTAGTCAACAGTCATTTCTTTCATCAGAGATAAGAGTCATTAATTTTTACTAATTTTTACCTGCCAAATTAAAATGTATGTGTGAGCAAAATATTCCATTGGGAACAGTTTAGATATACACAACAATGGATTTTTATATACATTTTCCTTTAAAATGAATATAAGTTTCATGTTTGGTAAATCTTTGTGGAAATATACTAACACTACTATATTGAAATCTGCTATATTAAAAATGTTATTTTCTTTTTCAACATGTTCGAATTATACAGAAAATACCAAAAGTGCTCAAACAAAAAGTTTAAAATTGTTGCCTAGTATAATTGATTCACTGTAATTAGTTATTTAAGATCAAAGATATAAGTATTTTCTATTTAATGATCTGCTTTTTCAGAGATACCGTATCTCCTTATGTGAAAAGGTGCATTGAGAGCTTCACATCAGATTGGGTCATAATAAATCGCAAATACAAGGGAAGAATCTCACCTATAGCCAGAGACAGATTGCTCCAAGACACACCTAGACAAGATTTCGAGGTACCTAAGGCAAAGAAAGAATTTATCTTTCGTAAAGAACAGTTTACGAAGAAATTTATCCAAATTAGGTAGATCAAGAGGATGCAAATGGTTGTGGATCACCAAATGAAGAGGATGATCTCTCCAACTGCGGGGACACTCCGAGAGGATCTTGGGCCAGTTTGGATTTGCGACATTCACAACACGATCCACTTTTGCCCAGTCTATTAGATCGTGTTTGCCTAGAGACGATCGATCAAATGAACGAGCAAAAGAGATTGGAGGATCGACAGGTAGAAGACTGCAAGATTGCAAGTTTGGGACTTGATTTTCAATCAACTGAACTTTATTGCAGGAAGCTTTATTCCCGCTTTATGCTCCGCCGACTTCTCCAGACGACGAGTGGCAAGAAATCGGTGTTGCTCCCGAACCTACGGAGCCGTTTGCTCATAAAATTCTCGTGAAATGTCTGCAACTAAAGTTGGAATTAGAAGTAGAACCAATATTCGCAAGCCTCGCATTGTACGACGCCAAAGAGAAGAAAAAGGCATGCTATCTTTCAATAAATTATATCTATAGTTCTGAAAATGCACAGTGGCGCAAATATAAATCGTTGCATTTCAGGTATCGGAAAATTTTTACGTCGATATGAACTCTGAAGGCTTGAAGAGAATGCTCGGAGGACACATCGCTTACAGCGACGCCAGCACCTTAGCTAGAAGCTGTGTTTTGAGCATTAGTAAGCCCAGCCCCGACTTGTTTCTCGTCGTGCGACTTGAGAAAGTATTACAGGGCGACATTTCGGAATGCGCCGAGCCGTACTTGCGCGAAGATAAAAATAAGGACAAGGTAATATCATCAATAACGAGTTTTGCTCGATGATCTTTTTCTAATGATTGCTCCGATTGTATGTCCGTTCTGCAGGTGAGAGCCGCCGCTGCCGCAGCGTGCGAACGCTTAGGTCGTTACAGGATGCCTCTCGCGTGGACTGCGATTCATCTGTCCGGGGTAATTGGGGGCGGCGGTGATGCGGACAGTACTGGCAGCGCTGGATCTTTGGATAGAAAGTCGGGCGGTCTGGAACAGTGGCGGAAGAAAGTGGAGCCGCCGACACGAAGAGGCTCGTTGGAACGACGCAGTTCAGACAAAAGACGTAGTTGGTCCCCGGACGATTTCGCCAACTGTCTAGACAGTTTTAGGTTCGTATATGATATTCCATGTTCATTGAAAAAAAATTAAACGAGCAGAATATAATCTCGATATTCTTTCAGACCCATCACTTTAACTGTCTCGAGCTTCTTCAAGCAAGAGAGTGAGCGACTTCGCGACGAGGACCTCTACAAACTTCTAGTCGAATTGCGAAGACCTGGTTCTAATCTGAAACGACTGAAATGTTTACCTGGAATATTGAAATTAGATCTCAGTCCTAGACCCGAAGAGCTACCCAGGTGTTTGGATCCCGATCTCAGGAGATTAGTTCCGTATCCGGACGAGAAAAGTCGACCGGTCAAGGAGATACTCGAATTTCCGAGCGAAGTTGTTTCACCAGATTTGACGTATCGTAATCTTCTATACCTTTATCCCAAGGTACGTCGAAGTGAGATGAATGATCGATTGATCGATACATCTTTATCATCTCTTCTTCGTTTTTAGGAAGCGAATTTCAGCTCCAGAACTGGTTCAGCCCGCAATATCGCCGTAAGAATTCAGCTTATGGGAGGTGAACAGGAAGCAGATGCGCTCACTGCCATTTTCGGCAGGTCGTCGTGTCCTGAGATGACGCACGAATACTTTACATCTGTGTCATATCACAATAAGAATCCAAACTTCTACGACGAAGTAAAAATGAGACTCCCTGCGGATTTGAGCGCTAAACATCATTTACTGTTCACTTTCTATCATATCAGTTGTCAAAAGAAAGCTGAACAACCGAATGTTGAAACAGCGGTCGCGTATACGGTAAATTTCAGTTAGAAATTCAGAAAATATATATATATATATATATATATATATATATATATATATATATACATAATAAAACCTACTCTCATTAAAGATTACCTATATAATCGGTGCTTTTTAGTGGCTACCGCTTCTGAGAGACGGTCATCTTCAATCGGGTGAATTCAGTCTGCCTGCCATGTTAGACCCACCACCGGCTAACTATTCTTATATTGCACCGGACGTTCTCTTGCCGGGCACTCGGTGGGTGGACGCTCATCGAGGAGTTTTTACCGTTATATTAGAACCCGTTTCTAGCGTTCATCCGCAAGACAAGTATATTGACAGGTAAACTATAAAAGTTCGTTACTTTTTATATAGCGTTTATCACGAAATGCGCAATAACTATGTAATTTTCGTATTACAGATTTCTGTCGTTGTGTGGTTTTTTGGAGACCGGTCAGGTACCGCCTCGCATCGGCGAAGCCGGTATGGAGTCGGAAGTGAAGTCAGCGCTGCTCGAATTAGCGCGTGCCTCGCACTCCGCTTTGGTACGATCCCTTCCTCAATTGCTGGATCAATTGCTGTGTCTTCTAGTACGACCGCCGACGTTGCCGTCTCAGTCATTGAATATCGCCGCCACCATTTTCGAGGCCTTGGGTCTGCTCGTGCGAAACATCACCAACTTGCCTGATGGCCAGTTAGACGCGCACGGAAGACACGCGCTCTTGGCTACTTACATCGCGTACCAATGTTCATTGCCGAGCATGTCTCACGGCGCAGGTGTTGTGCGAGCACAGAGCAATCCCGACTTGCCTCTAGAAGACTTGGAGATGGAGATCCATTCACGGGGACTGGATAGAACTGCGTCGATGCGGCAAGAATCCCCTTCAATTAGCAGTCAGCCTACCAGGAGACTCCTGCACGAAGAACTCGCGTTGCACTGGGTTGTGTCCACTGGTCAAGCGCGTGAATTGGCGATAACGCATTCTTGGTTCTTCCTGGAGCTGATAATGCGCTCGATGGTCGTCACGCTGTCGGAACTGAACAGTTTGGAGGCTCCGCGCAAACTAAGATTTTCGCCGCAGTTCTGTGACGACATCACGACCCTCACCGCCGCGCTAACCACCGAAGTGACAACGCGTTGCGGCAAGGAGACTCGCGTCGCGTCCAACCTTATATCGAGCCTCGGTAACTTCCTATCGGACTTGCTGTCCGTGATGGACCGAGGATTCGTGTTGTCGCTCATACGTGTCGCTTGTTGTTCGCTGTCGGACGCGTCGATGCACATTCCTGACTCAGCTGCGTTGTTCGCTTTGAAACTCGATCTCGTGAGAACGGTGTGTTCACACGAGCACTATGTGGCACTGAATCTCCCGTTCGGCACAGGCTACACATCCGGGTCGGCCCCAGCATCACCCAGTCCGTCCACCGGCAGTTCAGGCAGCCTGATTTCCACCTTGGTGCCGGGGGATAGGGCGAGATTCTCAGAACTCAGCCAGGAATTTAGGCAGCAGCACTTCTTAGTCGGCATCGTTCTATCCGACTTAGCGAATACCTTGGAGGTACCGAATCCGATGTTGCAGAATAAAGCTATCGGCACTGTACGGCATCTAATGAGTTGCCACGACGCCGATTCACGATATTCGGATCCCGCGGCGAAAGCCAGAGTTGCAGCGCTGTATTTACCGTTGCTGAGTATCTTGATGGATGCCTTGCCGCAACTCTACCACTGGGATTCCAAGGACAAGAGCGTCTATCCGGACGAGTCTGGATCGATCACTCAGTCCGTAGCCTTGGCTATCGCTGGCGGAGCATCGGCAGATACCGCAGGCAATCAGTGTCGGGTGTCTTTGAGCTCCGAAGCCACTCGACATCTCTTGATGTGTGCCTTGTGGGTCCTCAAAGGCTTGGAACGAACCGCGTTAGCGCAGTGGTGCTCTGAGTTGAGCGCAAGACGTATCTTGAGCTTGCTTCAAGTGCTGAATATCGCTACCGCTGCTTTCGAATACAAAGGCAAAAAGGCGCTCAAGAGGTTGCCACCGCAGGCCGCGGCCACTAGCGATATTCGCTCGCGACTGGAGGACGTGATCCTCGGCCAGGGAAGTGCCAGAAGCGAAATGATGCTGCGGAGGAAGGAGAGAGTGACCGGCGACAAGTTGAGGTGGCGCAAGGATCAAATGCCGTACAGGTAAGTTAGCACTTAGAATTACTCTCAGTTTCGAAGTGACTTTCATAGGCCACGTCTATTTATTTCTCCTGGCTGCTCCAGCGGATCACGTAACTGATGATCAACAACTCAAACTCGATATCAACGGTCCTGGTCATATAAATTTTATTAGTGATCATATAAATTTTTTCTAAAAGCGGAAACTTGAGAAGTGGAAAGTTTCACGCGAACTCAACGACTTTAGTGATCATATAACTTCCTGAACAATGGCAATTTTTATATCATTTCACGAGTTCAGTATGAGAAAAAACGTACGATTGACATGTTGAGACTGAGCGACGCGACTAGAATAGTAAATTTTTATCCGATGAGTACTAATAATACACACACACACATATATTTACTTTACTAATATAAAATATTTTTTTTCAAATAAAAGATACATGTTCTTAAAACTTTAAGGAAATTTAGTTTTTCTCGTGAAAGTAATTATTTATTCTATTTAAATAATAAAATTACTATTTAAATAATAACTTCTATAAAAAAATAAAACCGTTCATTAATTTTCTAATTAAAATTTTTTATTATACTAATTATTATTGAAACTACACACACACATGTATAAGTTACAATTAAAATTATAATTGAGTTTGTTAATTTGATCCTTTAAGATCATGCGAACAACCGGAGGGAAGAGCCGTCGAACAAGACGCTCATATTGAAGGGGCTTTAGCGGCTGAGGCCTCTTTGGTTGTATTAGATACCTTGGAATCTGTGGTTCAAGCCGATGGTGGCGGAGGTATCTATAAGTTTCTCATTCTACGTTTTAACACAATAAATAAATTGGACAAGTCACGATGTATTTACTATTTAGGTGCGGTTGTTGGAGCGGTGTTAAAAGTATTATTGAGAGCACTGGCTAGAAATCAAAGCACGTCGGTGCTGCAGCACATGTTCAATACACAGCGAGCTTTGGTTTTCAAGTATCATAGCGCCTTGTTTGATGAGGAGAGCGAGCGTTGCGGGGATTTATGCTTGACGTTGCTCACTCGATGCAGCTCGCCATTGAGCGCCGTCAGGAGTCACGCCGCTGCAAGTTTGTACTTGCTGATGCGACAGAACTTCGAAATTGGAAATGTAAGATCCCTCGTGAGATCTCGGTGTCTTGATTACCACGCGCGGCAAGTTGTTATAATTTGATGTTTCTCTTTTACAGAACTTCGCGCGCGTCAAGATGCAAGTTACGACTTCCTTGTCTGCACTCGTTGGTAGAGGAAGAGCTCCTAGCGAGGGAGCGCTGCGCAGAGCGCTGAAAACAGTATTGGTGTACGCCGAAAGAGACACAGAGCTTGCGGACACGAGCTTCCCAGAACAAGTGAAGGACTTATTGTTTAATCTTCACATGATTCTCTCCGACACCGTTAAGATGAAAGAGTTCCAAGAGGACCCTGAGATGTTGTTGGACTTAATGTATAGGTAAGACTACGATAATAAATTTTTATTTTCTTTTGGAAACATATATTATAAGTAATATTATTATATTTAGAAATATTAAATTGATCAAATATTAAATATGTCTAGAATCGCCAAAGGCTATCAAGGTTCACCGGATCTTCGATTAACCTGGCTTGCGAATATGGCGCAGCAACACATGGAGAGGAAGAATCACACGGAAGCCGCGATGTGTTTGGTGCACAGCGCAGCTTTAGTTGCGGAATATCTACATCTCCTGGAGCCCGGTGGCGGTGGACGACCGGTGGGAGCCGTCGCTTTGAACGCTGTGACGCCAAACGCCTTAGAGGAAAGCGCTGTGGGCGACGATGTATTGGCCCGAAGGGAAGAGGGGCTCTGTTTAGGTCCTGATTTTTCCGAAAGCGGCTTGGCGGGACTGTTAGAACACGCGGCTAGCTCTTTTCATGCAGCCGGAATGTACGAAGCTATTCCTGACGTTTACAGGGTGTTGCTGCCTATAGCCGAAGCAGCACATGACTATAAGAAATTGGCTAATATTCATGGGTAAAAAAACTCAACCAATTAGCGCAAACGATGAAAAATGCACAGTTTCGTTGCATGTTTAAATACTCACGTTCAAATACATCTCTCTCTTTTTCTCTGGATTTTCAGAAAACTTCACGAGGCGTACACACGTGTGGAACAGTTGGCCGGCAAGCGCGTCTTCGGAACGTATTTCAGAGTTGGTTTTTACGGTGCGAGATTTGGCGATCTCGCCGGTGAAGAATTTGTGTACAAGGAGCCGACCCTTACAAAGCTCCCGGAGATATTCTCGAGACTCGAGAATTTCTACGCTGAGAGATTTGGCGCGGATAATATAGTCATAATAAAGGACTCGAATCCTGTGGATCCCGGCAAATTGGAACCGGACAAGGCGTACGTTCAAATCACTTATGTAGAGCCATACTTCGAAGCGCACGAGCTCCGACATAGACCCACCGTTTTTCATCGCAATTTTAACATCAGTAAGTGCGCGGACCAGCAATATTTTAGTCACCACGATTATGATTATATAGACTGCTTGCCGTCACAATGTTACTTTCAGAACGATTCGTTTACGCGACACCTTTCACGCCCGGTGGCAAAGCTCACGGTGAGCTACGCGAACAATTCAAACGGAAAACTATATTGACAGTGGCGACGCATTTTCCGTATCTGAAAACCAGAATTCGAGTTGTAGCCCGGAAGCAGATAGTTCTCACTCCCATTGAAGTGGCAATCGAGGACATACAAAAGAAGACTGCCGAGGTATTAATCGATTGTTTACGATTATGTTTATACTTTTTTTTTAAATAATTTTTTAAGCTATTTCGCTTTTAGACGCGACACAACATGTTTTCATGTGTATCTTAATTAGGTGGCTGCCGCGACTGCTCAGGAACCTCCTGACGCAAAGATGCTGCAGATGGTCCTTCAAGGATGCATCGGCACCACTGTCAATCAAGGACCCGCCGAGGTAGCGGTTGTATTTCTGTCGGGTTTGCGCGAGCAGAATGTACAGCCGGATAGACTGCAGCACAAGCTTCGTCTATGCTTCAAGGATTTCCAGAAGAAGTGTCTCGACGCTCTGCGACGTAACAAGAATCTAATTGGCCCCGATCAGCGGGACTATCAGCGAGAGCTTGAGAGAAATTACCAAAGATTGACCGAACGATTGGCGCCTCTGATCGCTTGGAGGTAAGATATCTCGAATGAAGAAATTAATATTTTATTTCCTTTAAGTCTCTAATGTTAAAAATAATGTCTTACTCTGTCACATAGCGGGCCGTCCTTAATGAATCAGCAAGCTGTACCGGCAACGTCTCCGCGTTGGTAGAGAAGCGAGATATTGCCATAGAAGCTTACCAAAGATTATCGATTATTAATCACGTATGAGATTGTCACTTAGTATACAGGTAACACTACTTACGATCGTATTAGGGAAAATGTTGAATCCTTGCTTTATAAAATGATTATTCCGAGCTACATATAAATTTACATATGGCATAACCATAAAAAATTATTATAATATATTTATATTATATATT